CAATATATATATTGGTCTACATTAAAAAACTTAGGGTGCTTAGTTTATCTAAAATACTACAACTTCATTTTAAAGAACTTCTCTCTTGAGGTGACATACGATCATTCTAAAGCTTCAACATTTTCCACCATCTATGCGTCTTTCCTTCAATAGATGCAATAAAATGCGTGTACAATATTAACTAAACACATGTTATACAGTGTTGTAAAAAGACTATCGATAAAAGAGTGTAAATCAAGGATAAATTAATCATTAGATTCTCACAACTCATAGCCACCTGGAATTTATTGCTAACTAGCAAAGTTATTTATACTTTCCACCAAGTGGTTGTCTCTATTTAAACTAACTGCCAGGTTTTTGTATAAGTAATATCAAAGAGATATTATTATTCAAAACAATACTTTTGTGCTAAGTCTTTCCGCTGTACCATACTGTGGACTAATGCATCATGTAAAGTCTTGTAGTCTGCAGCTTCCCCATTGTTTGTTTTCCACAGTTTCAGCATATGAAATCCCCTTTGAGACAAATTTTTATATCTGTCGTCAATTTCTTCTATGTCCTCTTCCTTAATTCCAGGTAGTCGACGTGCCAGTCGATCCCACTTGACACCAATAGCTTTGCCAAGTGTTTGAAGGTCATCATTACTTACTTCTCCCTCTTGAATATAAAAACAAATAGAGAGTTAATTATTTCAAGATTAACAGCTTTAAAAATTGTGACTCAGGAACAATTTTAGAATCATTCATTGCAAGGGATTTTTTTTAAGGGGCAGGGGAGAGAGCAAAGGCTTTTTTTTTGTCATCCCAAAGATTTTCCATCAGATATTGTGGAGGCAGGGTGGACAAGTGGTTAGGACACAGGATTTGTAGCCTGGTGGTCCTGGGAACAAGCCCTCCACCCTGCCACTCACTGGATTGTTCTTAAATGGTTCCCGGAATTCAACTCCTTGGCTGTGCTTTGTATATAGCTAAGTGCAGCCTGCCTCCTGCCAGTTGGGATTTTTACAGTGTGTGTTTATCTACAAAGTTTGGGACTAGATTGTTCATATTTATCCTTAGATGAACCTTGCCTGAGGAGACTGGTCAATTTTAAAAGTATACAAATACATATCCAAGCACACATTCCTCATATTATCATGTATAATTTGTTGAATCAAACTGATTAGATTTAATTTTATGTCTGACAGCTAGTGGGGGTATATATAACTGATTGGAACAGAAGATGATTCCCTTTGTGCTGGTAAGATGGACAGCATACCTGAAGCCCGAGACAATGAAGCAGAAGATGAAATTGTCAACAAGTTCAAGATGGAAGATTAAAAAACCTACAATAACATAATTGTGCTCTCACTTCAAAGAAACAGCTCTTTAAGGAGTCATCACTGGATGGCTGACTGGATGCAAAAAGACTGCTGACCATACCACTTAATGTCTTTGAGATAATAGTACCATGAGGCTATTGTAAACCTAGTACTTCCATAAGGATTGTATTATGAAAAGTTGTTTATCTCTATTTTGAAGTACGTAACAACTGGCTAGTGTCATGCCATGCATGACCAGCAAACACAAGATAATCAGTAGTGAAAAAAAATTCAGGCCTATATGGGATTTGAACCCATGACCTCTGGGATACCGGTGTAGCGCTCTACCAACTGAGCTAACAATTGAACTACCAACTGAGCTAACAGTTCTTAACCATTTACAAGATAATCAATGGCCAAATTGGCCAATTGCCATGGCAACCAGAACAGTTGCAACTTAAAGCCTTGCTCAATGATAACTGAGGAGTAGTGTCCCCTGACAGGTGAATTTAAATCATCATCAGTAATTAATTAGTTTGCTAATCACCCTGTATAACAAAAGTGTCAAAAGTGAGATAAACATTTCCCTGGAATAGATGTAAAAGCAATCTGGATGACAATTAACATGAAATAAAATCCACAGATGTCCAACAAACGTAAAGTAACACAGTTCCTTCATTTTAAAAGTAAGTCACCTTTGTGTCGCTTCCCAGATACGTGTGAAGAATCTGCATTTGATGCAAACTGGTCTGGATCCCCAGAAAGGTCTGTAAGAAAATGGAAATACCCCCATAGGGGCATTCACATCAAAACTGTCTTAACTGTGACATTATATTGTCCAGGGATTGTGTTCCTCAATATTAAAAAAAAGTCCAAAAAAAAAAATTGGTACATTGATTATGTTAAAATGTTTTGTACCAGTGTTTGATACAAAAAGGATGCAGCTTGTTGATAACGCTAGCTAGGGCATGTTTAAAAAATAGACAAGTGAGTTATACCAGTAAAACCAGCCCCTCGCTTTTGAGGTGAATGCCTTTTGCCTTGGGACTCCTGATCAATTTCCTCAACACATTCTGTTAGATGTCAATAAATGAATGGCAAAAATTACACAAAGAAAACTATTCAACCAGACAACTGACCATACCACTTAATGTCTGAGATTATAGTGCTATGTGGCAATTGTAAACCTTAAGTACTTCAATAAGGGTTGCATTATGGAAAACTGTTTTTTTTTCTCTTGTAAAGAATGTTACAGCTGGGTAGTGTCAGTTGCCATGGCAACCAAAACAGTTGCAACTTAAAGCCTTGCTTAGTCAACCCCACAAATGATTCCTGTGGAGTATTGTTCTCACTGGTGAATTTAAATCATGATCATATGGATTTTGCCCCTTAAAATTATAAGTAATAAATTAGTTTGCTGATCACCCTGTGACAAAAGAAATGAACATGAGATGTAAAAGCATTCTGGGTTACTGTTAGCAAGAAAAAAATCCACAGATTTCCAACAAATATAAAGGAACATGGTTCCTTCTTTTTAAAAGTAAGTCACATTTTTGTCGCTTTCCAGATATGTACTTGAAGAATCTGCATTTGATGCAAACTGGTCTGAATCTCTAGTAGGGTCTGTCAGAAAATGGATATACTTCTATTTAAGAGCATTCACATTAAAATGTCATAATTATGACATATTACATTGTCCAGGAATTGTGTTCCTTGATATTCAAAAAAAGTCCAAAAAAAATATTGGTATTTTAATTTCATTAAAATGTTTTGTACCTGCTTGATTTAAAAAGGATGCAGTTTGTTGATAACACTAAAGCATGTTTAAAAAATAGACAAGTAAGTCATTACCGGCCCCTCGCTTTCGAGGTGAATGCCTTTTGCCTTGGGACTCTTGTTGCATTTCCTCAGCACGTCCTGTTAGATGTTGATAAACAAATAGCACAAATTACACAAAGACAACTTATCAAAGTAACAGTGTAACTGTCTTTCATCTAAGCCCCACATGAGTATGAGACATGTTTGTGCAGCTGTACTTCAATTCATATCATTAAAATGGAACTAAGGAGGTGAAACCTGTAACAGTGTTAAGCCTTGTAAGTAACTGTGATTAATATTTGTTACACATTTTTGTGGCAAGTTTGTTATCTGGTGTAATTTCTATGTCCATTTTAAGGCTTGGTGCCTTTACATAAGCATGTGGAAATCAAAACATCTGTGCACTAAAACATACATATTGTACTGGTATTAGCAATTATCTAAATTACACAGATACAAAACAGCCTCTAATTTCTGTCTACTTTTTGGTTCACTCTTGTATTAATTTGAGTCATGGTGCCTATTTCAGTTCTCTGTTTCTGATTTTCATTCAGTTAAATCCGGTTTAACTAAGCCTGTTTTCTGGTGGGTGTATACGCTATTGTATGAAATGCAAGAGTGTGCTGTTTCCAGCTATAATGTAGCTTCCTTTTCAATGTTCTGCTACTTGAAAAGAAAATTTTAATTGTTATAATTTGTTCCCAACAGAAATTTTATTCACTTTGAAGCACAAAAATTTGATCCTAAAAATCAGAAAAGTATGCCAAACCATAAAAAAAACTCCTGCAAATATTTCAACCCATATTGACATGATGATATTCACCTATTTTCACAAAGCAGTTAGTATACAATACATATTACTTATCAACAATTTCGTATACCGGTGCCATTCCAACCCATTATAAAACTGATTACTCATCGATATGTCACCCAGGGGTTTTCCATTTCAGAGCAAGAGCAGTGATCATGAGAAGTAGTGTGCCTCTTACTATCTAATATTTATTGTAGCCATAAAAATAAGCATTCTACTAACCAGCCACATTTTGTCCAGAGGCACATGGTTCATCATCAGAACTTTCATCCTCATCCTCTGATGAACCAATTTCAATCACGCTCCTGTCTTCTTTGCCAGGTTCTGATGGGTAGACTGCAAGTTTGTAAATAACTGTCAACAACTTTGATTCAATATCTTATAATTAGAAGCTATTACATCATGCAGTAGCTCATGTTTTTGATATATTGCATGATGTAAAGGTCTATAAACATTCATAGAGAACAATAAAGAGAACCTGTCTCACTGGCTTTCTGATCACTCTTTTTTTCTGCTTTCTTTTCCCCACCTGGTGAAATTTTCGTGGTATCTCGTATCCCAGTTTCTCTGCTGAAATGCAACATGTCATTGTGTTATATGGAAAACCATGTTCCCACAAGATATAACTCTTACCTATTAACTCAGTATTTTTTCTTTTTGCTAACATGGAGGTCAATGCAATGTCCATAGTGACAAACAAAAAAAATTAACACAGCTAACAAGAACTCCTAAAGCATACTGAATCTTGCATAAAAATATAGCATTTTAAACAAAAAAATCCACATGAAGTGAATAATTAATCCTCCATTTTGATCTTGAGGAATTTGTATTTTTTTGCAAGAGGTTTAAAGTGGCTAGTAAACTCTCTTGTTACTTATAACTTCTTGGATTGTCACTGAGATCTCAAAACAACAATGTCATCTTAGCCAACAGTGGGAGCTAGCTACAGTCACTGTGCAAGGGCAAAATTTTCCTGTAAAAAATGCTTAGCCTATATCTAGAAGAATTGATAGAGAACTAAATAATGCATTTTAACTGCAGAATAAAGATATTAATGCAGATAAAACAATCTTCACACTGTCAGAATTTAAACAGCACAAAATGCTAACCATGGGTTCCCTAAGAGTGACTTAATCTAGCATTTAATTTCTCATTTTAATATCACCCCCTAAACCACAAATTAAGGACGATCTAGGATCCAAGATAAAAATTTCTTGCCTCTTTGCTTTGTGGCCATCTTCATTATCTCTCTCCGCCTTTTTTACATCAGCAACTAATCAGGAATTGGAAAAAAAAAACACAGTCATTCAAATTTTCTACACCTTAGTTGACCAAAATCAGTTGGGCATGTAATTAATATAAAATTCAAATTTTAAATATCTTTAAATGAACAAGTTGCTCACTGAATAAATACTTCCCAGAACCCACTTTTTACAATTACTTGAAGGACAGTATTTTTACTCTCTGATAGCTTTTCATATCAAAAATTAATCAAGGGTGGAAGTAAAAATCACCTTGATGTTATTGTTTTGTCAATAAGGTCAATAAGAGCTCTCAACTCTTACGCTGAGCTCTCAACTCCTACACATTGAGCGTGAGACTCATGCAAACAAATTCAAACCAGGCTCTCATGCTGAAACTAAAAATTTGTCGCTCATTTAAGGTTTCTGATGTAAACTGTTGATTTACTCCTTGTTATACCTTTGTACTTGCTCTCCAACAATGGAAATAATTGAGAGTAGTTCAATTTTCTCCAAAGCAGCCTTTTAGCAACCTACTTAGTTAAATCAAGTTGCAAGAAAAAAGGAAGAAGAAACTTTGTGGGATAAAAGGATGCAACTAGTGCTGACAATACAACTTTTGTCTTTGAGACATAAAACCAAGTACTCAATTCCATAAGAATTCTTCTATACAAAATTGTTTATCTCTCTTTTAAAGAATGTTACAGCTGGCTTGTGTCATGTCATGCGTGACCAGCAAACACAAGATAATCTATGGCCAAATTTGTCAATTGCTATGGCAACCAAAACAGTTCTAAATTAAAGCCCTGCTTAGTCAACATCACAAATTATTCCTGTGGAGTAATGTTCCTGCAGGTGAATTTGAATCATCGTCATATGGATTTTGCCCCTTAAAAGTGATATGTAATAAATAAGTTTGCTGATCATGTTGTGACAAAAGTGTCTAAAGTGATACAAAATTTCCCTGGAACAGATGTAAAGGCAATCTGGTTGACAAATAATAATAAATCCTCAGATTTCCAACAAACAGAAAGCAACACTGTTCCTTCACTCTAAGAGTAAGTCACCTTTTCATAACTTTCCAAATATTTGAGAAGAACCTGCATTTGATGCAAACTGGTTTGGATTTTCAGCAAGGTCTCTCAGAAAATGGAAATACCCTTATTAGGGTATTCAAATTGAAAATATCATAACTATGACATTATATTTTCCAGCAATTGTGTTCCTCAATATTCAAAAAAGTCCAAAAAAAACATTGTTATATTGATTTAATTGAAATGTTTTGTACCTGCTCTATATAAAAAGGATGCAGTTTGTTGATAGCACTAGGGCATGTTTAAAAAATAGACAAGTGAGTAATTACCAGCCACTTGCTTTCGAGCTGAAAACCTTTTGCCTCGGGACTCTTGTTGCCTTTTCTCAGCATGTCCTGTCATGTCAATAAAGGAATAACAAATTACATAAAGACAACTATTTTCAAAGTATCAGTATGACTGTCATTCATCTACATAAAGTAATCCCCACATGAGTAAAACATGTAGATGCAGGTGTACTTCAACTCATATCATTACAAGGGAACTAAGGAGGTAAAACCTGTGATAGTATTAAGCCTTGTAAGTAACTGTGATTAATATTTGATGGAAATTTTTTGTGGCAAGCTTGTTATCTGGTGTAAATTTCTATGTCCATTTTTAAGCGTTAGTGCCTTTGAGCATGCAAAAATCAAACATCTTTGCACTTAAACATACACATTGTACTAAAATCAGCAATGATCTAAATTTCACAGATACAAAACAACCCCAAATTTCTCTGTACTTTTTCATGTTACTCTTATATTAATTCAAGTCGGGTGCCTATTTCAAAATGATAGCAGATTTGTGCTTATCAGCTACTACATACTTCAACTGAATTATTTCAAATCTGGTAAAGGCATATAATTAAACAACCTGAATGCAAGGTCCTAAGCTTCTTCACAAAAGCAGCACATTGGTCCCACCAACTGTATTTCTCTTTATATTTGTCACGTAGCATGCTTGCCTCGTATAATCCAGTTTCCAGATTTTTTCGTGCTTGTTTGATTTTTTCAGCCCAGTCAGCTTCTTGATGTACTATGCATCCGTGCCCTGAAGGTACTTTCTCTAGAGCCTCTGCCAAGCCAGAATTATGGGTAATAAGGATTGGTACACCTGCTGACAGTGCCTCCAAAGCTGTGAGACCAAATGCCTCTGTACCTGAAGGCATCAAAACAAGATCCACTTCCACAAATAGCTGAGCCAGCTTTCTTCTCTCTTTGTAAAAACTTCTCACAATCAGTTGACTACGAGAGATCCCAAGACCTTCCAACCTCTGAGCCAGTTTCTCTTGTTCTCCCTCTGGGGTACCAACAACTTTGAGAATGTATGATGGCTCATACTTATTAAGATGTGCCATAGCTTTGGCAGCAACATGAAAACCTTTAAGTTCAAAGTCTTCAGTGTTCCCTCTGCCAAACACTAAGATTTTAAAGTTCTTTGAATTTCGGTATTGCTTTTGCTCTCCAAAAAACTCATCAAAAATGCCAGGTATAAGATTGAATATATGATCTTTCTTACACTGATGCAGAGCTGAACTAAAGGTCTCATTGAGCTTAGAGCCAACTGTTATAACCATGTCAGCCTTTTTACACAATTCTACCTCAGTTTCGTATTGTTTCTGCCCTTTAGAAAAGGCATCTGGGGTTTTCTGGAATATTGCTGTTTCTTCTGCATTTGTCAGGACCACATGCACCCATTTACAGCCAAGGGAATTCTTAAGGACCCGTCCATAACGTCCAGGCTTAATGCCATGACCAATGATAAAGTCAGTACTAAATCCTTGTGGAGGAAACTGCAGACAATCAACTGGTTCAAAGCTTGCATATCTTTCAGGTTCAAAAACCTTGATGTTGTATTTTTGGGCATCTTCTTTATCCTCTGGACTGGCACTTGGAATTAAAATACCAATTTCTACATTTTCTTGTCTAGAGAGTTCTATGGCCATCTGTCTCATGAAGGTGGAACAACTGCCTTTGGTTGACTGAGTCCATTCCTCAGTCAAAAAGGTTATCTTCATGAGGGCAGCTTGCTTATTCAGATAATGTTCTGTAAAAAGTTTACAAATGATTTCAGAATTGTATGATTGCCCTTGATCCATATGTATTAGTTCCCACAGAAAAAGTTCATTACATCAAAATGCGACAAAATTATTTTTATAATGACTGTAAATATATGAAAATAATATATGAGCACTGCCGTTGAAGAAACGAATATAGAAGTGATCCTCGCAGTTATGAACACTACTGAACGAGTAGTAGAAATAAAGCCTGAAAAAAATTCAGGCCCGTATGAGATACCGTACGGGCCTGTTTCTGATTATCTGTCAGTTAAACTTGGTTTAATTAAATATGTTATCTGGTGTGTCAATAGGCTGGGGTATAAGATGCAAGAGTGTGCTGTTTCCAGCTATAAGTAGCTTCCTTGTCAATGTTAAGGCTGCTACTTGAAAAGAAAATTGTAATTATTACAATTTGTTCCCAGCAGAAATTTCACTCACTTCGAAGCACAAAAATTCGATCCTAAAATCAGAAAAGTATGCCAAACCACAAAATAAAACTCCAACCGATTTTTCAACCCAAATAGGTCGATGATATTCACCTATTTTCACAAAGCAGTATACCATACATATTACTGATCGGCAATTTCGCGCCATTTCAATCCATCACAAAACTTATTTGTTACTGATATATCACCTTGGGGTTTTCCATTTCAGAACAAGAGCAGTGTTAAGTAAAATACCAGCTTTCTAAATATGGCGCAAGATTAGTTAGGCTAGCCTGTGTACATGCAAAGGCATGTCTTGGAGCATTGCTTCATTTGGAACATAAAAAATGTTCGGATCCAACTGATTTCGTCCTACATTTTGTAAAGCGCTCGCTCAAGCCTCCTCGCTTATCTCATATAACCCTTGTTATAGGGTCTGTGATGGAAGTTCCCAACCAAGGTCATCAAACTACACGCTGTTGAAATTTTAATATCACTCTATATGATGCTGGATGGATTTATCCTCAAGTACCTTCTTTTATTTTAAACTCTTGTACACTGAATGCTCCTACGCCTATTTGCCTAGCCGATACCTCGTACAAAAGCGAGCGAGCCGAATAGGTGGCCATATAAAGTATGTCACAATTTATAGAGATTGTTCAGCGATCCCTCTCACCTTATCTGGAGGTATAAAGCAATTCACTTGATCGCGCGTTCCTCTTGAAAATTCGATAACATCGCCATAATGTGGTCTTGCGATCATGAATGGCAACAGTTGACTTAACCCGGAACCACGCTATCCCATGAGACATGGGAAGCGCAGGAAAAACTTGCATATATTATGTAGGTATTCTGTTGTGAAATGCTACTTTTAACTCAAAAACTTGGGCCAGCTCGCATGAACCATACGGTAGGGACTCGGTCAAACGAAAGAAATCAGTGAATCCAGTACAGCAACATAAAGCAGGATGTGACAGAGGTAAAAGAACTTTCATCTGCGTGTGACAAGGAAAAATCTGACGAGTTCCCGCTGAGAGGACTCGAGCTGCTACTAGTCACACTGTAATATCTCGCGCTCTAAAGCTCTACCTAGTTAGCTCATTGACAAGTCTAAGGGGAGGTCGTCGTGCACCCCGCTTTCCTTCCCCCCCGCCCTACCCCTTGTGAGATGATTTTCTTCTGGTAAACAACAAATAAATATCATAATTCAGGCGGTGAAAACGTGCATATTCTGAAGAGTATACATCTCACCGCATTTCAAATATTTACTAGTGGTAGATATTCATCCATGCATCTTGTAAGCCTGTCCCTCCCCCCCCGCACACACACACCCATACTCCCACGCACACACATACACGATACCTCCCCCCAAGGGATCGGTCATTATTTATTCGCTTGGGGGAGGGGTCGGAGGATTTTGGTTGTGTGACGATAAAATTTGCCTGATCCCCCATAAGGCTCTACAATATTATTTTAATTTTCCCCCATTAGCAGTTAATTGACAGTCAATTTTTATAGTTCTCCTTTGTACTCTGTTGGCGACGGCTGATCCCCACTCTGTTCCCCCTGAAAATCATGTGATCCCTCTAATATCTTTCACCCACTCCACCCAGGAGATAAGAAAAAACGACTGGTCTCCTAATACGACCATGCTGTTCCGTTGCAAAGCACGTAAAGAGCGGCTAGAGCACGAGAGAATTGTAGAGAGGTAGACAAGACGTACGGAGCTCCGTAGGGAGACACACAAGACGTAGTCGAGTTTCTCCCCACTTCTCAAGTACGTTCGTAATCTTGCAATCTAACTGAGCGTGAAAACCGTCAAAACTCGGATAGTGTAATTCGTTATCTCTATGAGGATCTATGAGGATTTTCGTCTCTGCTCACGTTATAATAAGGTAAATTACGGCACTTGGCAATTTTACAAATCTTTGTTCGGTTCTTCTGTTGCTACTTGCCGTCTCGCTTGTTTCGAAATTTCCCTTTCAACTGACAATAAAAAAAGCTAGAGAGGAGTCCGAGAAAAGGTCGGACATAATACAACTTGGCAGATGGCGTGAAAGCTCAGCTCTATGTTTTGTACTCTAATAGAGCACGCTCTTTCAACCAATGACAGCGCTCGTTATATCCGAGCTTTATTTTAAATAAATTTCACAAAAAGTAAGTTCTGGGGGCGAAAATCTTAAGTCAAAGAGTGGTCAAATCCATGGTAATAAGAGAGTTGAGCTGAAAAGTATGTTAAACCAGGTGATCAAATTTGCTGGTGTACCGATTTTCCAAAAAGCTGAGGGTACACTGCCGCGGAGGAGGCTTGGATACGAGGTGAATTTTTTCTAGATCAGACGTGATACGGTGAATATTGCGTTCGTCTATCACACTGTAAGTAAGGTGCATAAACATGTTTTGAAACACCACACATTAAACGTTCAAGGTGAATACACTCCATGTATTTGATAATCGAGCTAAATATTCCATTACATTGCATAAAAGACAGTTGCTAAGCAAACACTAGTTAACTATAATACTACCAAGGCAAAATAAAAATATTGCCATTCTCGATAAATTTTGTACAAAAACAAATTAAAATTGTGAAAACCAACGACGAACGACTACATATGTAGCGTTCCCCATACACTAAAAAATGCTCACATAATCACTAACCTAGTTGCTCCAAACAAGCACTTATTTTATTTTTTAAGACAGTATATATAGTTGTCTGCATCAAAAAACTTAGGGTACTCATCGAGTTTATCTAAAATACTCCAGCTTTACTTTAAAGAACTTCTCTCTTGAGCTGACATACGATCATTCTAAAGCTTCAACATTCTCCCCCATCTATGCGTCTTTCCTTCAATAGATGCAATCAAATGCGTGTATAATATTAGCTAAACACATGTTATACAATGTTGTAAAAAGGCTATCAATAAAAGAATGCAAATCAAGGATAAATTAATCATTAGATTCTCATAATTCATAGCCAGTTGGAATTTATCGCTAACTAGTAAAGTTATTTATACTTTCCACCCAGTGGCTGTCTCTATTTAGACTAACTGCCAAGTTTTGGTATAAGTAATACCAAAGAGATATTATCATTCAAAACAATACTTTTCTGCTAAGTCTTTCCGCTGTACCATATTATGGACTAATGCATCATGTAAAGTCTTATAGTCTGCAGCTTCCCCATTGTTTGTTTTCCACAGTTTCAGCATATGAAATCCTCTTTGAGACAAAGTCCTATGGCTGTCTTCAATTTCTTCTATGTCATCTTCTGTAATTCCAGGTAGTCGACGTGCCAGTCGATCCCACTTGACACCAATAGCTTTGCCAAGTGTTTGAAGGTCATCATTACTTACTTCTCCCTCTTGAATATAAAAACAAATAGAGAGTTAATTATTTCAAGATTAACAGCTTTAAAAATTGTGACTCAGGAACAATTTTAGAATCATTCATTGCAAGGGATTTTTTTTAAGGGGCAGGGGAGAGAGCAAAGGCTTTTTTTTTGTCATCCCAAAGATTTTCCATCAGATATTGTGGAGGTAGGGTGGACAAGTGGTTAGGACACAGGATTTGTAGCCTGGTGGTCCTGGGAACAAGCCCTCCACCCTGCCACTCACTGGATTGTTCTTAAATGGTTCCCTGAATTCAACTCCTTGGCTGTGCTTTGTATATAGCTAAGTGCAGCCTGCCTCCTGCCAGTTGGGGTTTTTACAGTCTGTTTATCTACAAAGTTTGGGACTAGATTGTTCATATTTATCCTTAGATGAACCTTGCCTGAGGAGACTGGTCAATTTTAAAAGTATACAAATACATATCCAAGCACACATTCCTCATATTATCATGTATAATTTGTTGAATCAAACTGATTAGATTTAATTTTATGTGTGACAGCTAGTGGGGGTATAACTGATTGGAACAGAAGATGATTCCCTTTGTGCTGGTAAGATGGACAGCATACCTGAAGCCCGAGACAATGAAGCAGAAGATGAAATTGTCAACAAGTTCAAGATGGAAGATTAAAAAACCTACAGTAACATAATTGTGCTCTCACTTCAAAGAAACAGCTCTTTAAGGAGCCATCGCTGGATGGCTGACTGGATGCAAAAAGACTGCTGACCATACCACTTAATGTCTTTGAGATAATAGTACCATGTGGCTATTGTAAACCTAGTACTTCCATAAGGATTGTATTATGAAAAGTTGTTTATCTCTATTTTGAAGTACGTAACAACTGGCTAGTGTCATGTCATGCATGACCAGCAAACACAAGATAATCAGTAGTGAAAAAAAATTCAGGCCTATACGGGATTTGAACCCATGACCTCTGCGATACCGGTGTAGCGCTCTACCAACTGAGCTAACAATTGAGCTACCAACTGAGCTAACAGTTCTTAACCATTTACAAGATAATCAATGGCCAAATTGGCCAATTGCCATGGCAACCAGAACAGTTGCAACTTAAAGCCTTGCTCAATGATAACTGAGGAGTAGTGTCCCCTGACAGGTGAATTTAAATCATCATCAGTAATTAATTAGTTTGCTAATCACCCTGTATAACAAAAGTGTCAAAAGTGAGATAAACATTTCCCTGGAACAGATGTAAAAGCAATCTGGATGACAGTTAACATGAAATAAAATCCACAGATCTCCAACAAATGTAAAGTAACACAGTTCCTTCATTTTAAAAGTAAGTCACCTTTGTGTCGCTTCCCAGATACGTATGAAGAATCTGCATTTGATGCAAACTGGTCTGGATCCCCAGAAAGGTCTGTAAGAAAATGGAAATACCCCCATAGGGGCATTCACATCAAAAATGTCTTAACTGTGACATTATATTGTCCAGGAATTGTGTTCCTCAACATTTAAAAAAAAGTCCAAAAAAAATATTGGTACATTGATTATTAAAATGTTTTGTACCTGTTTGATACAAAAAGGATGCAGTTTGTTGATAACGCTAGCTAGGGCATGTTTAAAAAATAGACAAGTGAGTTATACCAGTAAAACCAGCCCCTCGCTTTTGAGGTGAATGCCTTTTGCCTTGGGACTCCTGATCAATTTCCTCAACACATTCTGTTAGATGTCAATAAATGAATGGCAAAAATTACACAAAGAAAACTATTCAACTAGACAGCTGACCATACCACTTAATGTCTGAGATTATAGTGCTATGTGGCAATTGTAAACCTTAAGCACTTCAATAAGGATTGCATTATGAAAAACTGTTTTTTTTCTCTTGTAAAGAATGTTATAGCTGGGTAGTGTCAGTTGCCATGGCAACCAAAACAGTTGCAACTTAAAGCCTTGCTTATAGTCAACCCCACAAATGATTCCTGTGGAGTATTGTTCTCACCCGTGAATTTAAATCATGATCATATGGATTTTGCCCCTTAAAATTATAAGTAATAAATTAGTTTGCTGATCACCCTGTGACAAAAGTGTCTAAAGTGAGATGAACATGAGATGTAAAAGCATTCTGGGTGACAGTTAGCAAGAAAAAATCCACAGATTTCCAACAAATATAAAGGAACATGGTTCCTTCTTTTTAAAAGTAAGTCACATTTTTGTCGCTTTCCAGATATGTAAGAAGAATCTGCATTTGATGCAAACTGGTCTGAATCCCTAGTAGGGTCTGTCAGAAAATGGATATACCCCTATTTAAGAGCATTCACATTAAAATGTCATAATTATGACATATTACATTGTCCAGGAATTGTGTTCCTTGATATTCAAAAAAAGTCCAAAAAAAATATTGGTATTTTAATTTCATTAAAATGTTTTGTACCTGCTTGATTTAAAAAGGATGCAGTTTGTTGATAACACTAAGGCATGTTTAAAAAATATACAAGTAAGTCATTACCGGCCCCTCGCTTTCGAGGTGAATGCCTTTTGCCTTGGGATTCTTGTTGCATTTCCTCAGCACGTCCTGTTTGATGTTGATAAACAAATAGCACAAATTACACAAAGACAACTTTTCAAAGTAACAGTGTAACTGTCTTTCATCTAAGCCCCACATGAGTAAGACATGTTTGTGCAGCTGTACTTCAATTCATATCATTAAAATGGCACTAAGGAGGTGAAACCTGTAACAGTGTTAAGCCTTGTAAGTAACTGTGATTAATATTTGCTACACATTTTTGTGGCAAGTTTGTTATCTGGTGTAATTTCTATGTCCATTTTAAGGCTTGGTGCCTTTACATAAGCATGTGGAAATCAAAACATCTGTGCACTAAAATATACATATTGTACTGGTATCAGCAATTATCTAAATTACACAGATACAAAACAGCCTCTAATTTCTGTCTACTTTTTGGTTCACTCTTGTATTAATTTGAGTCATGGTGCCTATTTCAGTTCTCTGTTTGTGATTTTCATTCAGTTAAATCCGGTTTAACTAAGCCTGTTTTCTGGTGGGTGTATACGCTACGGTATGAAATGCAAGAGTGTGCTGTTTCCAGCTATATGTAGCTTCCTTTTCAATGTTCTGCTACTTGAAAAGAAAATGTTAATTGTTATAATTTGTTCCCAACAGAAATTTCATTCACTTTGAAGCACAAAAATTTGATCCTAAAAATCAGAAAAGCATACCAAACCACAAAAAAAAACTCCTACAAATATTTCAACCCATATTGACATGATGATATTCACCTATTTTCACAAAGCAGTTAGTATACAATACATATATATTACTTATCGACAATTTCGTATACCGGTGCCATTCCAACCCATTATAAAACTGATTACTCATCGATATGTCACCCCAGGGGTTTTCCATTTCAGAGCAAGAGCAGTGATCATGAGAAATAGAGTGCCTCTTACTATCTTTCCAAATGTGGCCCAAGATTAGTTTAAGGCTAGCCTATGTACTTACAAAGGCATGTCTTGAAGCATTGCTTCATTTGCAACATATTAAATGTTTGGATTCATCTAATTTCGTCCTATATTTTGTAAAGCACTCGTTCATTAGCCTCCTCGCTTATCTTATAACCCTTGGTATAGGGTCTGTAATGGAAGATCCCAGATATGAGATCTCATCTCCTTAAGTTTCCAACCAAGGCTATCAAAGTACATACTGTTGAAATTTTAATATCACTCTTTATGATGCTGGATACATCTATCCTCAAGTACGTTCTTTTATTTTAACCGCTCGTTCATTGAATGCTCCTTCGCTTATTTGCCTAGCCGACACTTCGTACAAAATGGAGCTTAAACGAGTTTTATCGCTGGCGATCGATGATTCGCATTCAGTATGAAATACGTGGCGGCAGCGAGCGGAATAGGAGGCCTCATGAGGTATGATGTATCAGCAATTATTCAGCGATCCCTCTCACCTTATCTGGAGGTGTTAATCAATTCACTTGATCGCGTGTTCCTCGTGAAAACTCGATGACATCGCCACAAGCTATATCTGTAGTCATGAACATAATGACAACAGTCAACGTAACCCGGAAGCACGCTATCGCGTGAGACATGGGAAGCACAGAAAAAACTTGCATAAATTATGCAGGTACTCTGTCGTGAAATGCTAATAATTATAACTCGAAAACTTTGGAAGAGCAGGACCTCGATCAAACGAAAGAAATTCGTAAATCCAGTACAGCAACATAAAGCAGGATGTGACAGAGGTTAAAGAACCTCTTTCATTTAATTTGCGCGTGACTTATACACGACTTATATATCTAGAGAAGCCTTGACTATGCTCTGTTCTGTTGTAAAGTACGCTGGAAGCCGCTACAGCACGAAAGAATCATAGGGAGAAACAGGAGACGTACAGAGAAACTCGTTATCTCACGTTATAGTAACTTAAATTACGGCACTTGACATGTTTACAAATCTTTGTTTGGTTCTTCTGTTGCTACTTGCCGGCTCGCTTGTTTCCAAATTTCACTTTTAATTAACGAAAAAGAGATAGAGAGAAGTCCCGGTAAAGGTCGGACATAGTACAATTTGGCAGATGGCGTAACAGCTTAGCTCCGTGTTTTGTATTCTGATAGAGCACGCTCTTTCAATCAATGACAGCGCGCGTTATATCCGAACTTTATTATAAATGAATTGACGAAAAGTAATTTCCGAGGGCGAAAATCTTAAGTCAAAGAGCAGTCAAATCCACGGAATTGAGAGAATTGAGCCTAAGCGTATGTCAAACCAGAAGGTGATCAAATTTGCTGGTGTACCAGTTTTATCTGATCGATTTTCCAAAAAGCTGAGGGTACACTGTCGCGGAAGAGGCTTGGGTCCAAGGTGAATTTTTTCTCGACCAGGCGAAATATGGTCAATTTTGCGTTCGTCTATCACAAGGTAAGTAAGGAACATAAACACGTTTTGAAACACCACACCTTGAACGTTCAAAGTAAATGCACTCCATGTATTTCATAACCGGGCTAAATGTTCCATTATATTGCATAAAAGTCAGCTGCTAAGGAAACGCTAGTTAACTAATATATAGATTTAGCCAAATGAAAATATCGTCATTCTCGATTTCTACAAAAACAAGTTAAAGCTGTAATAACCAACGACGAACGACTGCAAATGTTTCGTTCCTCAATCACTAAAAAATGTTCACATAATCAATAACCTAATTGCTTTAAACAAGCACTTATTTTATTTTTTAACACAATATATACAATTTTCTATATTAAAAAAACCTTAGAGTACTTGATATATACTTTATTTTAAAGAACTTCTCTCCTGAGCCGACTTACGATCATTTCAAAGCTTCAACATTCTCCTCATCTATGCGTCTTTCTTCCAATCAAATGCGTGGATAAAATTAGCTAAACACATGTTGTATAATGTTGTAAAAAGGCTATCGATAAAAGGATGTAAATCAAGGATTAATAAATCATTAGATTCTTACAATTAATAACCAACTGGAATTTATTGGTAACTAGCGAAGTTATCTCTACTTTCCACCTAGTGGCCGTCTCTATTTAAACTAACTGCCAGGTTTGGTATGAGCAATATCTATGAGATATTATTCTAAACAATACTTTTGTGCTAAGTCTTTCCGCTGTACCAACTCATGGACTAATGCATTATACAAAGTCTTATAGTCTGCAGCTTTCCCATTGTTTGTTTTCCACAGTTTCAGCATATGAAATCCCCTTTGAGACAAAGTCCTGTGGCTGTGTTCAATTTCCTCTATGTCATCTTCCTCAATTTTAGGTAGTCGACGTGCCAGTCGATCCCAATTGACACCAATAGCTTTGCCAAGTGTTTGAAGGTCATCATCAGTTACTACTCCCTCTTGAATATAAACACAAACAGAGAGTTAATTATTTTAAGATTACCAGCTCACTTGTTACATACTGTGACTCAGTAACAATTTTAAAATCATTCACTGCAAGTGAATTTTTTTTAGGGGAGGGGGGAGTAAGTAGAGAAAAGGCTTTTTTGGTCATGCCAGAGATTTTCCATCAGATATTGTGGAAACAGGATGGACAAGTGGTTAGGACACAGGATTTGTAGTATGGTGGTCCTGGGAACGAGCCCTCCAGCTATATATTATGTTCAATTGAACTGATCAGATTTAATTTGTGTTGTGACAGTTTGTTGGGGATATAACTGTCCATCTTATCAGCCCTTGTGCTGATAAGATGGACGGCATACCTGAAGGCCAGGACAACAAAGCAGAATATGAAATTATCAACTGGTCAAAAATTATACAAAGACAACTAATCAACGAAACGGCTGACTATACCACTTAATGTCTTGGAGATAATAGTACTATGTGGCAGTTGTAAACCTAGTACTTCAATAAGGATTGTATAATGCAAAATTGTTTATCTCTCTGTTAAAGAATGTTACAGCTGCCTTGTGTCATGCCATGCACGACCAGCAAACACAAGAAAATTAATGGCCGAATTGGCCAATTGCAACCAAAACAGTTGCAACTGAAAGCCTTGCTTAGTCAAAACCACAAATGATTCCTGTGGAGTAAAATTCTCACGGGTGAATTTAAATCATCATCATATGGATTTTGCCCTTTAAAATAAGTAATATATTAGTTTACTGATCACCTTGTAACAAAAGTGTCTAAAGTGAGATAAACACTTAAAGGCCATCTGGGTGACAATTAACACAAAAAAATCCACAGATTTCCAACAAACATAAAGTTACACTGTTCCTTCATTTTATAGGGAAGTCACCTTTTAGTCACTTTCCAGATACGGAAGAAAAATCTCTCTTTGATGCAGACTGGTCTGAATCCTTAGCAGGGTCTGTCAGAAAATGGAGATACTCCTATTAAGGTATTCACATGGTAAATTTCATAACTATGACATTATAATTTCCAGGAATTGTGTTCCTTGATATTCAAAAAAAGTTCAAATAAAATATTGGTAGACTTATTTCATTAAAATATTTACTTCCAGCTCGATATAAAAAGGATGCAGTTTGTTGATAACACCAGGGCATGTTTAAAAAATAGACAAGTGAGTTGTAATACCAGCCACTTGCTGTTGAGCTGAATGCCTTTTTCCTTGGGACTCCTGTTCAACTTCCTCAGCACATTCTGTTAGATGTCAATTAATGAATGGCAAAAATTACACAAAGGCAACTAATAAACTAGACTGTTGACCATACCACTTAATGTCTGAGATAATAGTACTATGTGACAATTGTAAACCTAGTACTTCAATAGGGATTGTACTATGTAAAATCGTTCATATCTCATTAGAGAATGTTACAGCTGGCTAATGTCATGCCATGCACGACCAGCAAACAAAAGATAATCAATGGCCAAATTGGCTAATTGCCATGGCAACCAAAACAGTGGCAACTTAAAGCCTTGCTTAGTCAATAACCCATGTGATCCCTGTGGAGTAATGGGGTAATGTTCTCACAGGTGAATTTAAATCATGATCATATGGATTTTGCCCCTTAAAATTATAAGTAACAACTTAGTTTGTTGATCACCTTGTAACAACAGTGTCTTAAGTAAGATAAAAATTTCCCTGGAACTGATGTAAAAGCAATCTGATGGACAATTAACGAGAAAAAATCCACAGATCTCCAACAAATGTAAAATAACACAGTTCCTTCATCTTAAAACTAAGTCACTATTTCTTTGCATTCCAGATATGTAAGAAGAATCTGCATTTGATTCAAACAGGTCTGGATCCTCAGCAGGGTCTGTCAGAAAATGTAAATACCCCTATTAGGGTATTCACATTGAAAATTGTCATGACTATGACATGACATTGTCCAGGAATTGTGTTCTTTGATATTCAAAGAAAGTCCAAAAATATTTGTATATTGATTTCGTTAAATTGTTTTGTACTTGCTCAATATTAAGAGGATGCAATTTGTTGATAACACTAGGGCATGTTTAAAAAATAGACAAGCAAGTAATTACCAGCCACTCGCTTTTGAGCTGAATGCCTTTTGCCTTGGGACTCCTGTTGCATTTCCTCAGCATGTCCTGTTAGATGTCGATAAACAAATAGCACAAATTACACAAAGACAACTAATCAAAATATCAGTGTGACTGTCATTCATCTAAGCCCCACATGTCTTGAGTAACACATATTGGTGCAGCTGTACTTCAACTCATACCATTACAATGGAACTAAGGAGGTGAAACCTGCCACAGTGTTAGGCCTTGTAAGTAACTGATTAGTACTTGTTGCATATTTTTGTAGCAAGCTTGTGATCTGGTGTAATTTCTATGTCCATTTTAAGGTTTGGTGGCTTTGAGCACATGAAAATCAAAACATCTTTGCACTATAAAACATACATATTGTAATGAAATCAGCAATGATCTGAATTGCATGGATACCATCAAAATAGCCCTTAATTTATGTCTACCTTTTTGATTTCACTCTTATATTAATTCTAATCATGGTGCCAATTTCAAAATGATAAACAGATTTGTGCCAACTAGCTGCTAGGTACTTATTTAATTATTTTACTTCAGGTAAATGCATATAAAGTTAACATTTTTACCTGAATGCAAGGCCCTAAGCTTCATCACAAAAGCAGCACATTGGTCCATCCAACAGTATTTCTCTTTATAGTTGTTGCGTAGTGTGCTTGCCTCCACTAATCCAGTTCTCAGATGTTTTCGTGCTTGCTTGATTTGGTCAGCCCAATCATCTGCTTGATCTACTATGCATCTGCGCCCGAAAGGTATTTCTTCTAGAGCCTCCGCCAAGCCAGAATTATGGGTAATAAGGATTGGTACACCTGCTGATAATGCCTCCAAAGCTGCAAGACCAAATGCCTCTGTACCTGAAGGCATCAAAACAAGATCCACTTCCAAAAATAGCTGAGCCAGTTTTCCTCTTTCTGTGTAAAAACTTCTCACAATTAGTTGACTACGAGAGATCCCAAGATCTTCCAACCTCTCAGCCAGTTTCTCTTGTTCTCCCTCAGGGGCACCAACAACTTTGAGAATGTATGATGGCTCATACTTATTAAGATGTGCCACAGCTTTGGCAGCAACATGAAGACCTTTAAGTTCAAAGTCTTCAGTGTTCCCTCTGCCAAACACTAAGATTTTAAAGTTCTTTGAATTTCGGTATTGCTTCTGCTCTCCAAAAAACTCATCAAAAATGCCAGGTGTAAGATTGAATATATGATCTTTCTTACAGTGATGCAGAGCAGAATTAAAGGTCTCATTGAGCTTAGAGCCAACTGTTATAACCATGTCAGCCTTTTTACACAATTCTACCTCAGTTTCGTACTGTTTCTGCCCTTCGGAAATGGCACCTGGGGTTTTCTGGAACATTGCTGTTTCTTCTGCATTTCTCAGGACCACATGCACCCATTTACAGCCAAGGTTATTCTTAAGGACCTGTCCATGACATCCAGGCTTAATGCCCTGACCAATGATAAAGTCAGTGCTAAATCCTTGTGGAGGAAACTGTAGACAGTCAACTGGTTCATAGCCTGTAAGTTTCTCAGGTTCAAAAACATTGATGTTGTATTTTTGGGCATCTTCTTTATCCTCTGGACTGGCACTTGGAATTAAAATACCAATTTCTACATTTTCTAGTCTAGAAAGTTCTATGGCCATCTGTCTCATGAAGGTGGAACAACTGCCTTTGGTTGACTGAGTCCATTCCTCAGTCAAAAAGGTTATCTTCATGACGGCAACTTGCTTATTCAGATAATGTCCTGTAAAAAGTTTATAAATGATTTCAGAATTGTATGATTGCCCTTGATCCATAAATATCAGTTCCCACAAAAAAAGTTTATTCAATCAAAATGCCATAAATTTATTTTTAATTCACTAAAAACTCATGTAAGTAGGCAGGAGCCTAGGGTAACAGTATTTCCATTCTATTTTGTTCAGTCAGTTAAAGTAATTAAAGATTCTAGAATTCTGTAAAGTTTCCCAAACTCCCCATTCACAACAACACTTCCATATGTCTTAAAGGTTAAACAGTTAAACATGGCTTAAAATATTTTTCTTAATAAATTGCTTTAATTGCTTAAAGCACTTTGAATCAACTATACATACAGCACATTGACAATAAAAGTTAACAATTACTTGAAACCTATGGAAAACTTAGTTTTAGTTCTCTGTTTCTGATTTTCATTCAGTTAAATCCAGTTTTACTGAACATGTTTTCTGGTGTGTCAATAGGCTAGGGTATAAGATGCAAGAGTGTGTTGTTTCCAGCTATGTGTGATTTCCTTGTCAGTGTTCTGCTACTTGAAAAGAAAATTTTAATTATTATAATTTGTTCCCAGCGGATATTTCACTCACTATGAGCACAAAAATTTGATCTTAAAATCAGAAAAGTATGCCAAACCGCAAAATAAAACTCCTATCTATTTTTCAACCCAGACTGATATGATGATACTCAACTATTTTCGAAAAGCGTTATACAATACATAAAATTAATCGGTAATTTCGTATACCGGCGCCATTCCAATCCATCACAAAACATTTATCGATATATGACCTAGGGGTTTTCCATTTCGGAACAAGAGCAGTGATCATTAGAAGTAGAGTGCCTCTTATCAGCTTTCCAAATGTGGCCTAGGGTTAGTTAGGCTAACCTATGTTCAAAAGAAGGCTTGTCTTGAAGCATTGCTTCATTTGCAACATAAAAAATGTTTGGACCCAACTAACTTCGTCCTACGTTTTGTAAAGCGCTCGTTCAAGCCTCCTCGCCTATCTTACAACCCTTGGTATAGGGTCCCAGATATGAGATCTCATCTCCTCAAGTTTCCAGCCAAGGCCATTAAATTACATGCTGTTGAAATTTTACTATAAGTCTTTACGATGCTGGATGCATTTATCCTCAAGTAGTTTCTATTATTTTAACCACTCGAACACTGAATGCTCCTTCGATTATTTGCTTTGCCGATACTTCGTACAAGACAAGACGAATAGGCGGTCGCATAAAGTATGTCATAACTTAATATACAATAGATTGTTCAGCAATCCCTCTCACCTTATCTGGAGGTGTAAATCAATTCACTTGATCGCGTGTTCCTCGTGAAAATTCGATGCCATCGCCACAATGTGTAGTTGAGATCACGAATGGCAACAATAAGCACGCTATCCCATGAGACATAGGAAGGGCGGGAAAACTTGCATAAATTATGCAGGTATTCAGTTGTGAAATGTTGATTATAACTTGAAATCTTGGGCCAGCTCGCGTAAATCCCACGGCAGGGCCTCGGTCAAACGGAAAAAATTCGTTAATCCGGTACAGCAACATAAATCAGGATGTGGCAGAGGTAAGAGAACTTCTTTCATCTGCGCGTGAAGAGTTCCCGCTGAGAGGATTCTCTGAAATTCTTCAACCACCCCAGCCAGGAGACAAAAAAATGACTGGTCCCTTATTATGACTCAAAGATTCAGAAAAGCTTTGACTGTGCTCTCTTCTGTTGTTAAGCACACAGGAAGCGGCTAGAGCACAAAAAAGTGTGGGGAGAAATACGAGACGTACGGAGCTCCCTAGGGAGAAAAAGGAGACGTAATATAATAACAATAATTTATAGACTTACATTGCGCAATTATCAATATAAGAATTTTCAATTGCTTATTACAATGAAAAGTTAAAAATTCAACTCCTACATAGATACTAAAAACTAAAAAACTAAAAAATTTTAAAAAATTAAAAAAATTAAAAATCAATAAAAATAAAATAATTAATAAATTTTAAAAAAATTAATAAATTTTAAAAAAATTAATAAATTTTAAAAAAATTAATAAATTCAAAAAAAATTAAATAAATAAATAAATAAAAATGATCACTAAGAAAAAGTAAAAATTAGAAATTAGATACGAAGAATTAAAAAGCGTACGGAGACTCCGTACTAGACGTAGTGGAGAGTTTCTCCCCACTTCTTAAGTACATTCGTAATCTTGCAATCTAACTGAGCGTGAAAACCGTCAACACACGGATAGTCCAATTCATTATCTCTATGAGGATTTTCGTCTCAACTCACGTTATAATAACGTAAATTACGGCCCTTTGCATGTTTACAAATCTTTCTTTCGTTCTTCTGTTGCTACTTGCCAACTCGCTTGTTAGAAGGAAGTCCCGGAAAAGGTCGAACATAGTACAATTTGGCAGATCGCGTGACATCTTACCTCATTACTTTATTATACATGAATTTAACAAATAAATTCTAAGGGCGAAAATCTTAAGTCAAAGAGCGATCAAATCCATGGAATTGAGCTTCAAAGTATATCAAACGGGAGGGTGATCAAATTTGCTGGTGTACCAGTTTTATCAGTCAGATTTTTCAAAAAAGCTGAGGGTACACTGCCGCGGAAGACGTTTGGGTCTAAGGTGAATTTTTTCTCGACCAGGCGTGATACGGTCAATTTTGCGTTTGTCTATCACACGGCAAGTAAGGAGCATAATCACGTTTTGGAACCCCACACCTTGAACATTTAAAGTAAATGCAGTCCATAGTCTCCATGTACTTTATAACCTGGCTAAATATGACATTAGATTGCATAAAAGTCAGCTGCTGAGCAAACACTAGTTAACTTTAATAGTACCATGGTAAAATAAAATATCGCCATTCTCGATTTGTACAAAAAACAAATTGAAGCTGATCACCAACGACGAACAACCGCATATGTTTCGTTCTTCAATCATTAAAAACGCTCACAAACAGTTCTTTTATTTTTAAAGACAGTATATATAGTTGTCTACATTAAAAAACTTAGAGTACTTAATTATATAGTTTATCTCAAATACTCTAACATTATTTTAAAGAACTCTCTTGAGCCGACTTACGATCATTTCAAAGCTTCAACATTCTCCCCCATCTATGTGTCTTTCCTCCAACAGATCCAATCAAATACGTGTATAATATTAACTAAACACATGTTGTACAATGTTTTAAAAAGACTATTGAAGAAAGGATGTAAATCAAGGATAAATTAATCACTAGATTCTTAAAATCAATATCCAACTAGAATTTATTGGTAACTAGCAAAGTTATCTATACTTTCCTTCTAGTGGCTGTCTCTTTTTAAACTAACTGCCAGGTTTTAGTATGAGTAATATCTAGGAGATATTATTATTCAAAACAATACTTTTCTGCTAAGTCTTTCCGCTGTACCGTATTGTGGACTAATGCATTATACGAATTCTTATTCTCTGCAGCTTCCTCATTTTTTGTTTTCCACAGTTTCAGTATATGAAATCCTCTTTGAGACAAAGTCAGATCTCTCTTTAATTTCTTCTATGTCATTTTTTGTAATTCCAAGTAGTCGACGTGCCAGTCGATCCCACTTGCCAGCAATAGCTTTGCCAAGTGTTTGAAGGTCATCTTCAGTTACTACTTCCTCTTGAATATAAAGAGAAATAGAGAGTTAATTATTTTAAGACTACCCGCTTTGATAGCTGTGACTCAGTAAAAAATTTTAAAATCACTCATTCCAAGTGAGGGGGGGAGGGGAGAACAGTTAACGGGAACAGAACAGCTTCCAGTTAATTCAACTGTTTGAACGGCGAGCATGAAGGCGAGCATGAAGTCAAGGAGAGGAGTTATTATTTGTGCTCTTACTCAGTGCGCGACTTTCACTTGCCTAGCACCTATCTTCATTTGCCTGAAAAACGTAACAAAATATGCCTGTTCTGCAGGCTTCATCTCTTAAACTTTAGTTCTTCAGATAAAATAGTTTGCAAGAGGAAATGTAAGCACTAAAATGAAATATCACATTTTTACCCTAACCTTTTCACCTCTCTTACTTACATACTAGCTTCTGGTTCCAATGAAATTAAGCAAGAGGAAGAAAGTGGCTCAGCTGCTAAAAACCCTGAACTTGATCCTATTGGAAAACCTGGAACTTCTGGGGTATCGAGCACCAGTGAGACAAGGAAGTTTAAGAGTAAGGACAAAAGGAAAATTACATTTTAAGTCGATATTTTCGAAATTATTAATTACTTACTACATGCACTGTAATAAGTTAATTAATTAATTAACTATTGTTAGTTAGTATTTAACTGTAATTAATTAATTGATTAATTACTACTTGTACTACACTTTACTATCCAATGGTATATTTTCAGGATCAATCATGTAAAATTTCTTGGCAGACTTGAAGAACGTTCAATCTCTCTTCCAATCAATTTTTAACGCTGATAAATTATTACTGACTTACAATAAGTTATACCTCCCACCAGCTGTCAAAACATAAATCAACTCTGATAAGTTTGATTCAACATATTATATTTGATAATTATGAGGTAATAATTATGGAGGTATGTGTGTGTTGGTATATCTTTGTATACTTTTAAAATTGACCACTCTCCCTCAAGAGGGCTCATCTTAGGATCAATATGAAAAATCTGGTCCCAAACATTGTAAATAAACACAGGCTGTAAAAACCCCAACTGGCAGGAGGCAGGCCGTAGTTGGCTGTATGCAAAGCAACAATCCAGTGTGTGGCAGGGTGGAGGGCTTGTTCCTAGGACCACCAGACTACAAATCCGGTGTCCTAACCACTTGGCCACCCTGCCTCCACAATGTCTGATGGAAAATCTCTGGCATGAAAAAGAAAAGCCTTTACTCTCTCTCTCTCTCTCTCTCTCTCTCTCTCTCTCTCTCTTTCTCTCCCTCTCTCTTTCTCTCTCTCTCTCTCTCTCTCTCTCTCTCGACGAAAAGTGTGGCACTTTAGTCACCTTTTTTCTCCCTTGTTAGAACTTCTTCAAAATCTTCCCCTTTTCAATGAAACTCTAGGAGTTACAATAGCAGAGTACTGTGCATGTTTGTCCAGAGTTTTACGTCCACAACTTAAAATGCTTTTATCTTAGATGGCTTTTTACATCAAAAAAGGTACAAAAGTGCCAGTGATCGGGGTTTCGCAAACAAAAGAAGGGAACAATCCAATTTCATGTTGAATAAATAGATAGATGAGAGACTAATAAACGCTGGTATATTCCCCCGACCACCCCGCCAATTTTAAACAGGGTATTGAAGAGATTGGCAGAAAGTCGGGTGTAATAGTTTAAACTTTCATCTACGTTCAAGTTTACCGTTTCGAAAAAGGCCTAAAGTTTACTCATTGAACTTGAATGTTTTACTGCGGTCAAGGCATTTGAGGAAAGAGTCTGAAACGTTATTATGTTTGACCTTGTCTACTTAGCATTATGTTCACCAAGTTACAGCTTTTCAGCTTGCGTTGTTTTGCAATTACAGCCACTTTTTTGGAACCATGTCTTGTTGCGAAGCCGCGTTGCAAAAGTGCCACATTTGGTAGCATTGAGCTAGGAATTGCGACAAAGGGAGAAATGACCTTGCACAGCGCCTGATTTCAAATCCTGTTGTACATAAACTCTCTTTGTATATATCTTGTTCTGCTAGTAATTCCAAGCTAGCAGCTTATAACCTATTCCTGCAGTTAGAGGTAAAACCTGCTCATCCTCCATACACATGCTTTTGGTGTTTCGACTGATTTTGTTGTCAAGGGGAAGTTTTAAACACCATATTTTGTACTTGATAATATTAGAATTCTACTGACTTTATAGCATAATAAAATACCCAGTCATCCAATTTCCATGAGCTGGTATAAAACTCCGGGAAATCGGCCGCTTATTTTTAGCGCCAAATATGCATATAAAGAAAGATGAGCGGGGGAAGTAAGGGGTTCAAACTTCAGTTAAGTTTGCTTGTTATAATAAAACAGGCAGTTATTCGGTTTTTAGTGAATGTTAAATAGTTAATGACCTCTAGGCATCTCTACTGCAGAAAAGCTCCGTTCCGTGATAAAATTCCTCACTTAAGAGAAAAATGCACGAATTAGTCAGCACACTCGCATGAATGTGCCGTAGTTAAAATGTTTGAGGTAATCTCACTGAATTTTTATTCCTTTGAAGACTGAAAATAATACAACTTGTGTCAGAGAGGCAAGGGCGGCAAGGAATTTTTCATCGAGCATAGAAAATTGCACAACGTCGTCAGAATTAAAAGAAGTCAGATGTTTTCAGCTTACCTATAGGTCTATTTATTTTGGCTGTTGCTTTTGCTCGTTTTTTGTTTCTTTTTACCGACAAAGTAATGACGTCGAGCTTAAAAAAAGAAGTTC